GGTCTGCCCTGCCGAAGACCTTAAGTGCAATCGCGTGTCCCCTGTGAGCGGACCTTGCCCTGGGTTTGACTTGAAGCATCTGCCTAAGTGGGAGGTCATTGAGGCCGCGTTCCGGGCTTGCAAAGCGCGTAAAGCCCCAGGAGCCGATCAAATCCCGGATTGGGTCTGGAAAATGGCCCCGCGCAAGTCAACCGAGATTTGGCTACCGATTTTCCTCAAGGCTCATGTCAGGCTGAGTGAACCTGTTCAGTTTAAACATACGCTTCTCTTCTCCTTATTTAAGGGGAAGGGGTCGCCAGCGTCTGTGTCCAACTACAGAGCAATCGCGCTCCTTTCTGGCCCGGGCAAAGTTCTCCGTAAGCAGCTACGGCCCACTTTGTTGCGTCAGCTCCCTGACGATCCGCTGCAAACAAGGAGGCATCCCTCACTCGCTGCTCCAAGGGGCACATCAAGTGCTGAAGATGCATGCTAGCATCGCAGCGGCCATTGGTGCTTCCAACTGCGCTTTGTTCCTGGATGTCTCCTCGGCCTATTACAGGGTCCTCCGACAGGCCTTTCATGATGACTTGGAAGACGATAGGCAGATCTGCAGCGTACTTCAGCAGCTGGGAGTCAAGCCGGAATCCTTGCATTCTGTCTGTGCCTGGTTGTCCGAGACCAACCTTGTTGCGGGAGCCGATCAGCACGAACAGCGCCTCCTTCGCGAGTATTTTGCGGGCACTTTCTTTACGATGAAGGAGGGGGGCGCGATCGTGCGCACCCACGCCGGCACTCGGCCTGGTGATGCTATCGCCGACGCGCTCTTTGCATTGGTTCAGGCGGACTTTCTTGCGGGTCTGCGTTCTCACCTGGACAATGACGGCCTGCTCGATGACCCCGTGGCCCACGAGGTGTTTTCGGCTGCTCGCCTTTTGGCGCCTGTGTGGGCTGATGATACGGTGCTGCTATTGGCATCCACAGGTGCTGAGAACCTGATGCAAAAAACCACTGCAGTTCTCCAGCGCGTGCACCTTGAATTCACCAGGCGAGGCATGGCCCCCAACTATGCTCGGGGCAAGTCCGAGCTTATGTTTTCATTTCGCGGGCGGGGCGCCCCGGCCATGAGGCAAAAGGTGCTTATCAGGCAAGGCGGTCTACTCCCCTTCCCCTCGGACCAGGGAGTTCAGACCATTTTCTGCACCAGGTCTTATGTTCACTTAGGAGGCGTGGTCAATGATAAGCAGTCAAATTCCCAGGACATCTGCCAGCACTTGGCCCAGGCCCGGCGTCAGATTAAGCCTCTGAGACGCCCTGTGCTCCGAGATCCCTCCATCCCCTTGCCCACCCGCAGGATGTGCCTTTCCTCGCTAGCACTTTCATGTGTCACAGTGACGGCACCGACTTGGGGGCGCCTTACTAAAGCTGAATTTGCAGCTTGGAGGAGCGGCTATGTCGGATTGCTGCGTTGCCTTCACCGGGACGATCGCTGGACAGGGCAGCCTAGCCTCCCCGGCGAGCAACATGTATGTGTTGCCTCTGCGATGCCGTCTGCAGGGGCTTTCCTGCGTGGCCAAAGGCTTCTTCACTTCCGGCGTGTTTGCCTGACCCAGCCCGTGCTTACTGACCTGTTGCTGGCCGAAGACAGGGTGAGTAATGCCTCCTGGCTATGCCTTCTGCGGGGCGATGCCGAGTGGCTCGTTGGGTTTGCTCTCCTCCCGGAAGAGGTCTTGCAGGACTTCCCTCATGGCTTTGCTGATTGGGTCGTTCACCATGGTCCTGCTTTCAAGACGGCCGTGCGGAAGGCCTTGAGTAAGGTCCAAGATCCGCGCCATGAGTCTGCCTGGCTTGTGTCTGACGCGGAGGCCCCTCCTGTGGCTTCTTCCGCTTTGGATCATTCATGCCCTCATTGCCCCGCTTTGTTCCCTACCCGGCAAGCACTCAGTGCCCATCTGTTTGCGCGGCATGGAAAGTCCTGCTTGGCCCGCAGCTACCTACACGGCACAGTGTGCCCCGCCTGCTTGTGCCAGTTCTGGACGACTGCAAGGGCAACCCGCCACCTCCAACATGATTCGCCAAAGTGCCTTCAGGCGCTGCAGGAGCACGGCATGCTTGGGGACTCCACGTCGCGTAAAAGTGACGCCAGCACAGCGGGCCTTCCGGCAACCCGCTTGATAGGCCCACTTCTTCCTTTGCACGTGGATATCCCGTCTTTCGCATCGCAAGCAGCACAAGGCGACCCAGCGATTTTGCGATGGAAGCATTCGTGCCACACTCCAGCAATGCTGGCGTGGTTGGAGTCCATGGAGGCTCTTAATTAATTTTTCCCCTCTGCATGTTTTTGACCATTTGTTGTACAGCTTCCTGGCGCTGCGTCTGACAGCAGACTCTTTAGCACCGAAATGCCGAAATGCCGAAATGCCCTAAACCCTAAACCCTGAACCCTAAAACCCGAAACCCTGAAGCCCTGAAGCCCTAAACCTCCTTGGCCCAATGCGCCTTGCTCATGCGCACAAAGATATTCTCCTGAATGTAAGGAACCTTGCGTGTTCGCTTGAAAACATCGGCGACTTCATGACAAAGTATACTGTAGGGTTCATTTCGGTTTTAGGGTTTAGTTCAGAGTTCAGGGTTTAGGGTGCACTCACCGATGTTTCTAAGGAGCCTTTTCACCCGTACCGAACCCTAGAATATGCCATGCAACACATCAACTCAACCCCCATGTTCAACTAGAAGTGGCCAGCGCAACTACAATCTCAGCACGGACACCCTCTACCCCTAGCGCAATAGTTAGGGACTTTCAGGGACTTTGTCAATAGTTCGCAGCCAAGCTTAGGGCTTATACTCAGGGTGCTTATGACGCTGGTTGTAGGCTTTCGCCAGGCCCCTTGATCTCGAAGACGGCCTACGTACATTACCGGGAAAGGAGGCACTTCAATCAGGAAGCAAAACACAGACCCTTGCGGGAAACAAACAGGTTTCTGTGTTTAGAGAAAACAACATTACTACAAGCCAGACCGTGTCCGAAACCCAACAACTCTACATCCTGAACACCAATAGCCATGATCAACAAGACACCCCTGACCCAAAACCCTAAGCCCCCAAACCGAGAAGTAAGGGAAACCCCTGCTTGCCCGAAATAATCCCAAAGCTCCATGACGTAAGGACTCACACCGATACCCGAGCCATCGCTTTTTTGGAAAATTCGTAACAACACCGTTCGTCACGCCAGACAATCCATATGCAAGCTTTAACACCCCTGTGAAGCCTTCCACAAGTTTCAGCCCCATGGTTTGGGGTCTGAGACTGGGCTTGTATAGACTTGAAAGTTTAAAGCTTAATTAAAGGGATTTGGGGCTTAGGGTTGGGCTTGTAACGTCATCAACGTGATTCCTAAGGAACACAGAATGAAGCCATCCACGGGACACCATGCTTCTCGCAGATCGCTTTGACTTGCCTTGGTAGGTGAAACGATCATGGCAAGGCGTAGCATGCCTTCAGGACTTTAGGGTTTAGCGTTTGGGGTTTAGGTTTTGGGGTTCGAACCCTGGGCTGAAGGTGTTTCTTTGGAGGCGGTTTGTGTGGAGCAAAACTGCGCAGGAACTAAGACTGCCAAGCAATGGCAACCTTTCACCGGATTTCCAACCATTTCGGCGAAATGCTGGATTGTCTGGCTGACATCTGTGAACACATGACATAGTTAAGTGCCTTAGTAAAGAAGAACACTACCCCAGAGGGTCTACATATACTGCAATTATGGAACTAGGCCCCGATCGACCATACTTATTATGCTTTTCGGGACCTATGTAATTGAATATATAGTAGAATGCATGGACCGTCTTGGTAATTCTCAGTGCTACGACTCCTGGCCAAGGATCCGTGCTGCTTTCAACTTGTAACATAGTCAATTCTTCCTTGAGGTTCCTTATAGGGTTTAGGGTTTAGGGTTTAGAATTTAGGGTTTAGGGTTTAGGGTTTAGGGTTTAGGGTTATTATAGCATGCCGCGAAACCCTAGTCAAGTATTGATAAGGCGCCTATATTCTGCAAGCAGTCCTAAACTCCCGAGAGACGGCTCAGGTTTTAGCTGGACGTAAGGCAACTACATCTTCTGGTGCTTCTTCTTCTGACTTCTGCAAGTAGATCCGCACAAAAGGTGGTTTTGTGGGGTGTGTGCTTCTTGTGCGACCCAGGAGGTGCCCCAATGTTCTGTGAAATTGGGCGAAGCAGTGGGATTCTGGTGGGGTCCCTAAACCCTAAACCCTAAACCCTAAACCCTAAACCCTAAACCTTAAACCCTAAACCCTAAACCCTAAACCCTAAACCCTAAACCCTAAACCCTAAACCCTAAACCCCAAGCCCTATATACACCACAGTAGCCCTCGGGCCGAAACGAGTTCAGGGTTTGCGAAAAGTTAAGTAGGGTTTAGGGTTTAGGGTTTAGGGTTTAGGGTTTAGGGTTTAGGGTTTAGGGCATGTACTTGTAACCCGAAACCCTTGATAGGAGGTACTAAGGGGCTTCGCAGGTTTTGTAGGCTCATGATCGAGAGTTTTGGGTTCGCAGTTTGGGTAGTTCTCTGAACTAGGGGTCCTGTTTAAAAGGGTGCCGTACGGTTTTGGGTGTAGAAAAGGGACCCTAACTTAGAGAACTAAGGCTCCGTGTGTGCAACCCTAAACCCTAAACCCTAAACCCTAAACCGTAAAGCTCCGTGTGTGCCGCCGTGGGACGGCTGTGCCTTCTGGTAGGACAGCATCGAAAGGTCGGGCCTTCAGAACGTTCTCCAAGCAGGTTTAGGGTTTAGGGTTTAGGGGTTTAGGGGTTTAGGGGTTTAGGGTTTAGGGTTTAGGAACAGGCAAAGTCACGTGAAATGCTGCAAGAACATCAAGAACTAGATCTGTTTGATTCTGTTAGGCACTCTTTTCCGTCTGGCGGACCACCCTCCCAAGAAGATGAACCACTGAGAGAGACGTGTGTCGCGATGGTTTCATCGTGACACTTGAACGGAACCCTTTGGGTTCAGTTCCACTAGCTCTGGCTCAGAAAACCAGACCCACATGTCTCATTGTACTTTTCGCATTCACCTCTGGAGTTGTCCCAGTACTGATAGCCGCAGTGGCCCATGTTTCGCTCGGTTTTGCAATCCTCGGGTTCCCAACCCTCGGTGGCGGAACTGATGCAGGACCTGCAAGCGTCTGGCCGAGTACCTTGTGCCATCCCACTGACACATGCTTCGGCAAATTCCCAGTTGCTTTGCACACAGCACCTGCACGAGTCTGGACATGAGGATGTCCAGCCACCACAAATCTTGCTCAAAGCATCGGCTTCACTCTCGTAGAAGACGTCCCCACATCCTTTCAGTGAGATGAGGACCACGGAAAGGCTCCCAAGGATTCCTGCGTGCCGCATGGTTGCTAGGCTAGTCATCAAGGAATGGCGAAGGGGTGTGGTGTTTGGTGATCTGAGCCGAAAGCGAACTGCTTCAACTTGTGATTGTCACTGACTGTCTGCGTCGATTTCAGTGCATGATCAAACAGCATGACACAAGCCAAGTCACAAAATGTTGCGAGCTAGATACAGTAAGGTTCATTACAGAAACGCACGATCCAGAAATCTCAGCGCAATATAATGAAACACTGCTGCCAACTCTTCAGCCACGTATAGGTGCACTTTTGATTTCAGATCGTTTCAAGACTCTCCGCCTATAGCCAAAAATGTGCAAAGTTTGAACTGCTATTAAAGGTATGAGATGTCTTGTAGACTCCGTACCATGGATACGTAGAGTTTTCGGCCCACAGGCCATCCAGTGACCAGTGGGAGACTAGTCCAGACCTTCCTATATCCCTGCAATCAGCAGGAGCTAGGATTAGGGGGAGAGCCGGGCCATAAGTAGGGTGAAAAAGGATCCCCTTTAAGGGGTCCCCCTACTACTACTACTACTACTACTACTACTACTAAGGAACTACAGGGGTTCTGAGGGGAGCTCTCGTCGCCAGCAATGAACCCTCCAACTGTGATCATACATCCCTCAGGCTTCGACGGAGAGGGTTCTAGGGTTTCAGGATGTTCAGGGGTTATCACGGAGGCGCATGGGAGAAGCCTTGCACCGACAGAGCTTCAGCTGCAAACCCGCAGCGATTAATGTCTAAACCCTAAACCCCTAAACCCTAAACCCTATAAACCCTAAACCCTAAACCCTATAAACCCTATAAACCCTAAACCCTATAAGCCCTAAACATAGTGTGCAGCTTTGGGCTGGGAGAGACTCGGAGGTTGGCGGTTATGTTATGGCAAACTGTCGTAAGCACTATAGAGGCAACCTATCACGAACTACGGTGACGATTTACATCCTGCATTCCCCATAATAAAGACTATACCATAATTGCCATAGTTTAGGGTCCCCAAGGTAATGCAGGATTTAAATCATCAGCCGTATTTCTACTCCCGCCTGACCCCATACAGAACACCGGAGGCAAATTTCAAGAGCCCGTTTCAGGGCTGGAAAAAAAGACCAACCTGCATCTCTTAGTAGAGCTTCAAATAAGCCCCTGATTAACCACACCCTCGCCTTGCCCCGGATTGTAAGAACAATAACAACCGCTAAGGCTCAAAAAAGGGCCCTTATAATCGGAATAGGGTTTGAAACCCACTATACTAGAGTTGTAATAAGGAACAGCCAGAATAAGATTGGTAATTACTAAGGCCCCTATACTAAGCCAACAGGCGAACAGGCATCCTGCATTCCCAGCCCTAAACCCTCCGGGAGCTTGTCTGCAAAGACCGCCCAAGCAGCCCGACTGCAGCTCGCTTTGCCGAGGAATCGCAAATTAAGGGTTTAGGGTTTAGGGTTTAGGGTTTGAGCATCCGCACCACAAAGCATCTCATTGATGTCAAGCTCACTCTGTTACAGGATGCCTTTCATGGTTTCCGTCACTACCATTACCGTAAACCCCAAACCCTAAACCCTAGACCCTAACCCCAAACCCGTTCACGGTCTCCGTCACTACCATTACCCAAAACTCGAGACCCAGGGTCACGTGAGGATAAGAACTTGGAGGACCCTTGTCGAGCAGCGCAAGAAAGTTACAAGGCTTTATACTCACAGTTTCATAGCGCTGTTGCAGAGAAGGTTCGTGCAGCTAAGGTTGCTGTTGGGTCTTAGAGGCCTCCGTACCAAAATCCGGCAAGCCCGAAACCAAGGCCATACTCTAAACCCAAACCAAGGTTTCGGGCTTCACGGCTGGGGTTACTTGACAATGATTCCCCCCCCACACACACAACACAAAACACATTGCTTTCATTTTTAACTATATACCCCAGACACAAAATCACAAACCGTATCTAGCTCGTGAATACTTTGGACCACACTCACCTACATTATAACGATCTCAGAGCCCTCTTAGAGGCCAGCCAAAGATGATGCTCAATCTGGTAGTTCAGGTAACCATGCCTCACGGACGCGCTGCCCTAAAGCCTGAACTATATGGCCCAGCCCTGGACCCCAACAAGAAATGTCAGCATTGCTTTGCCAAATTTATTAGTACGGTTTGGGGCTTTGGCCCAGCCTTCACAAGGTGTATGTTAACATGCAAGCATTATGTGCTTGGCCAGGGTTTAGGGTTTAGGGTTTAGGGGGTGTCACGTGCTTGCATAACTTGCCTTAGTGTGTGCAGCAAGGGCTCACAATAGAACTGGTTGGGTATGCTTTGAGCTTCACAGGGTGCATGGGCCAGAAATTACGGGCTTTGGCCTTAGCATATGTGTGCACGATAGGGGCCGGGTCTTAACAGTTCCAGTGAGGCTTTGGTGTACAGTCGCAACTCACAGGAAATAGGTGCCCTCACCGTCGCCGTCCATCAGCACCTCTGGCCACTCAAGCTGCAAAGTGTCCACTCAGGCTTGCTTGTCGCCCATCAAACGTCTCGAAAGAGAAGTGCTCCGGTTGCTTGAGCTCATCGTCCCACGCTCCAGTGCGCGTTTGCTTTACAGCGACTGGGCCCGACGAGTCGTGCTTGCTTCAAGTGGGTGGTTGTCAAAATTATGGTCCCTTTGTGGGTCCTTATTATAATACGGCACCTATTATTTAGGGTACCCCAGAAAGGACCCTAATTTTGACAACTACCCAAGTTGAGCTACTCCGAGCTCGTGCTGGAAGCCACTGCCGCTGCAGGGGAGGTCGGGCGACTCCGTCGGGTTTAGGGTTTAGGATTTAGGGTTTAGGGTTTAGGGTTTAGGATTTAAGGGTTAAGGATGTAGGGTTTAAGGTTTAGGGTTTAGGGTTTAGGGTTTAGGATTTAGGGTTTAGGGTTTAGGGTTTAGGATTTAAGGTTTAGGATGTAGGGTT